GTCAGCTTGGGACTTGACATCTTGGAGGTAAAAGTGGGCCAGAGATACAGGCTTGAGATTTATTTACTGTAAAATATTTCTTGCAGATGGACTTGATTGTTGAATCAGAAAGTGGCTATGCATCATCCACCAGTATTTTAAACCTGTCCAACAAACTCCAGAGCAAAAAAATGAAGAAGAAGGAAGCAGAACAAGTGCTCCAGATGTTTGTGCAGGACAAGTGGCTTTCAGAAGTAAATTGTCTCGGGATACACTGTGGCCGTTTTTAAAGTTTTGACTGGTTTTTAGGGCAGACAAGAGTTTCTTCCAAAGTGCTGGTTTAATTAACTCTATTACTTTAGGAAGAAAAGCAAAACTAGAAAAAGATTGTTCCACGGATTGTGCTTGAATGTAAAGATACTTGCTCCTCTCCCTCTGGGGCTGTCAGTGCTGACACAAAATTTCTGGTTCTGCATTTAACAGTACGATAGCATTTCCAAGAAACTCCAGACAGGGGCGCAGAAAGCGAGCTCCTTGTCACAGAAACCTTGTTTATCAGCGGCTTCCTTCCAGCAAGTGTCTGGCGAGTCTCTTATGTCTGGCCGGCATGAGAAGCTCTGTGTGGTGACGCTCCGCTTCCTCATGTGGTTCCTGCCGACACGCTGGACCCGCTGATACTGCTGTCAGCTTCTTTTTCAGGGAAAGTGACTTCTTGGTAGCCCCGCATACATAGTTCACTGATGTCATGGAGGTAGACTGGTAATTTCAGGAGGTGTGACTAAAACAAGACAGTACTGGGGTATTTTTCAGCGCTGACCAGTTTGTTTACATTTTGAGGAGCTAGCTATGAAGGCGATACTTAATATTTATGAGTAACCTGGCCTGGCAAATGCCAAATGCGTTGAGCCTGCAGGATATGTTTAACTTATGAATTAAATTTCTCAATTAATTTAACTTGGTTTCTAGAATGAGAATTTTTTAGTTTTAGAAGAGATCTCAAAGATTCAAACCTCCTTATTTCACAGAGAAGTAAACTAAGACTTAGAGAAATATGGAGTAGAAAGAGGGCTGGATTTGGAGTCAGAAGACTCAGGTTCAGACCTCAGATTTGCTGCTTGGGGGAAGGGGAAGGGTACCTGCTTTGGTTCAGGCACTGTGCTAAGTGAATTACACATATTAGCTCATTTGATCCTCATAACAACCCTGTGAGGTAGGTGCTGTTCTAATCCTCATTTAACAGTTAAGGAAACTGAGGCAGACAGTAGTTAAGTGACCAGGGTCACACGGTATCTGAGGACATATTTGAATTGAAGTCTTCCAGACTCCAGATCCAATGTTCGGAAACCCTTAGCTGGTTACTGCTTGTGTGACACTGTGTAAGTCTCTTTATCCCTCCAGACCTTGGCTTCTTTTATCTTTAAAATGATCAGGCCAGATTAGATTATTTAGAACATTCCACCCCCATTCCTAGGATCCTGTGTGATGATGATGTGAATTGCCAGGGACATCAAGAACTCAAAGCATGCTAGGATCTAACTGTAGGGATTGAGCACAGGTCTCCACGGGAGGTCTGGGTGTCAGCACTGGTCCTGGCACTAGATGTGCAATCTTAGGCTAGCCTCTTCTCCTCTTAGTTGAGGCCTCGTTTTCCTTGTCTCTAAAATAAAGGGGGGTGTTTTCGGCCACTTCAGAGGTTTCTGCCTACACGATCCAACTTCACAGAAAAACTGTGCAGAAAGTACTTTGTAAAGTGCTACGTAAATGGGAGCTCTTACTAATTTTTTAAGAAGAAGTGTTCATTAAAATCCTTACTTGACAGTCAAGAACCTCCCTCTACCTTTTTCAGGCCCTCATCCTGTGTTTATTCGCATTGCAGGAGGCCCACTAAGGGATATTGCAGAAGCACCTTTATTTTGATTGGCCAGTTGTGTGATCTTGGACAAATCACAGCCCCTTCCTCTGCTGTTTCTTCTTTTACAAAATGAGGAAGGTGATCTAGATGAGCTTTGAGGACCCCTTACTTTGAACTCTCAAGATCTTAAGGCCTCTGCCCACCTTGATCCTCTGCCATTTTCTTTTCTGTGTTATGTAGACTCTGAGGGCTTCCCTGCCTCCTCTTCCCATGCAAGGGTTTTTTGAAAAACACCAATCCTCGTTTCAACAGCCTATCCTTATTTAGTCAAAGCTACTGTGATATTTGGGAGGAGAAGCATGGGCACTTAGCCCAGGGAATTCCAAAGTATGACTTCCATTGTAGGACCATAGGATTTAGAGCTAGAGAGATTTAGAAATCATCCCTTTGAAGAGCTAAAGAAAGTGAGACTTAAAGATGTTCAGTAACCTGTGGCTAAGTTCACACAAACAGTATGTAACAGGGCAACCTGAATCCAGATACTGCTTTAATTCCAAATCTAGTGATTTTCCCACTGGGCTGCACTATGTCTAATGTCTACATACAAACACAGCCTGGGTGTTCTGGGCATAGATGTGGCTTTTCCCTGTCCCTTTAGGGAAAAGGCCAATGATAGTGTTTTGTTTATACCAATCCTATACTTCTGGGTGCTCAGAGGATCTCAAAAGTCAAGGTGGCTCTAGTGCTTTCAATTTTTTGGTCTTAGTTGGACATGATTTCACTTAAGTGAAGGGATTTGATAGGATTCTTGAGTGAAGTGGGAAATCAGTAAATGATTATTTTCAAATGTTAATCCACACACCATTATGGGGAACCTGTGTGTCCAAACCTTGTGTAAATAATAGCATATATGTGTGTGTGTATGTGTGTATATATATGTATATATCACCTTAAAATTTATAAAATGTTTTATGCTCATAATATTCCTGTGAAATAGAATTTCAGTTTGAATATCCCCATTTTATAGATGAAGAAAACAGGCTGAGGCAGGGGAAGTGCCTGGCCTTCCTTCACATAGCTTAAATATAGGTCTCAAATCCAGATCAGTTGACTCCAAATCCAGTTTTCTTTCTACTATACTACTTTGCTTTTCCTCCTGAAACTCAATTTTATTTTATTTTCAGTTCCAAATTCTCTCCTTTTGAGAAGGCAAGAAAAATAAAATCCGTTTCAATTGGTTTTGTATCATCATGCAAAACCAATTTCCATAGTAATTTATGTTCCAAAAATAAAAGCAGCAAGAAAAAGAAAGAACTACAAGAAAATACACTTCATTTTGAGCTCTCAACTCCCTCGGTTCTCTCTCTGGATGTAGATAGCATGTTTCATCATGAGTCTTTTGGAATTGTGGTGGGTCACTGTGTTGATCAAAGTGACTAAGTCTTTCAAAGGATTATCTTTACAATATTGCCATTACTGGATAAATTGTTCTGATTCTGCTTAATTCATTCTGAATCAGTTCATATGAGCCTCGCTACATTGATTTTTCATAAATAAAGTTGTAGAAGGAATATGTGTAATATGTTATGGCACTGTTTGGTATGGTGCCACATGGCCTCTTAACAGGGCACTTTTGAATGTTCTTGACATTTCATTTCTGTGTGTTTCACCTCCACAACTAAATCTTAGCCTGAAGGACAAGGGGCTTGTTGACATTCCCATTATTCCCCTCCACACCCCATCCTGATCTTTCTACCATGAACCTTCAATAAATGCTTGTTGGCTGTTACTATTTCTTTAGAGACATGGTGAATACACTTTACATACTCGCTGCATCATGGAATTGGATCAGTATATATGCGAGACGTATCAGGATGTCAAAAAGTGCAACATCTGCCACAGCCTTGCCATTCAGGTAAATAAATATGAAGCTGTTAAATTGATCTTTGAGAATATTTTCCCCTTCATGAATACCATTCTATAGACTTGTCTATAGACCCAGTTCTACTGGGTACTTTGAATTTCATAGACCTTTGATATCATAAGCAACTAACCCATTAGTTTCTCTCTGGCCACATTCTACCCAATCAGTTAATCAACAAACATTTATTAAGTCCCTACTATGTGCCAGGTACAGGAGAGGTAAAAAACACCATCCTTTCAGTAATAAACCTCTATTGCTACTAGCACCAGCTTCCTGTATCTAATACCTTGTTCATAGTTTAAAATATTGTAGATATTGTCATTAGACCATTGTTTTCTCATGCTATTTTCCCCAAGTAAATAGAACATTATTGGGCTAGGCCCCTCCCTCAGAGTATTACTCACTTTGGAAAGTACATGAAATTGCATATCAGGAGAGGGTTAATCTAGAGGACAGATAGAACCCTAGATATCTGGTACATTTCTGAAAGTGTCCAAAGAACATTTGTGGTAGTAGCACAATCAGCTTGAAAGCACATCAGAGATTATCTTTCACGTTCAACTAGTGTTAGTGAAGTGAAAATGGAGAACTTTCCCATGGTCACACAGCTAATCTGTAGGAGAGCTGGGACTTAAACTAACAGACAAACCTTTCCAGACATACATCCTATGGCTTAGCACATAGAATCCTGATAGCAAAAATGAACCCAGGGGGTTCTAGAACACACAGGAGAAAGTTCTTGATCACTGGACTGAATAACAATAATTATGGACTCCAAAGGGAGAAGATACACAGGTCCACTTAAAAATGTGAAGCAAAACACAGAGAAATCTGAGACCTTTTGTAATCAGCCTTTCTCATTTCAGGGCCAGTCCTGTGATACCTGTGGAATTAAAATGCATTTACCTTGTGTTACAAAGTATTTCAAATCTCAGCCTGAGCCACACTGTCCTCATTGTAATGAAGTATGGCCTCATGAGACTCGAGGTAGGATGAATCACATGATTTGAACTTTGCCCTGGGTTTACTGGACTATTAATGGATATCTTTATTTTCTTAATTTTTCTTACTTTATATTTTGTTTTTGTATCACCTGCTTTTCCTAATATCCTCATATTCCTGTCCTAGAGAGCCTTTCGTTTTATAATGAAGAAAAAGAGGAAAAAAAAAAAGTTTAGCACAACTAATCAATGTGCCAAACAAGTCTGACATTATCTACAGTGTTTCAGACCTATAGCCCCTCACCTCCATAGGAGGAGGTGCATTATTATTTTTCCTCTTTGGGACCAAGCTGTCATTATACTTTTGCAGCTCTATTTCAGTTGCTTTGTTGTTCTTTCCATTTACATTTTTGCAGTCATTGTATAGTTCTCCTGGTTCTGCTTATTTTACTTTCCATCATGTTATCTTGTTAAATCATCATGTTATATCTATAGTCTTCCCTATGTTTCTCTGCATTCATTGTTTTTAATGATATAGTGATTTTCTATTACATTTACCACAATTAATTTTTGCCATTCTCTAATCAATGAGCATCTGTTTATTTTTTGGGTTTTTTTTTGCTACTACAGAAAATTTTGCTGTAAATATTGTGGTGTTTATGTAGCCTTTCTTTTAGATCACTAACCTTCTTGGGGTATATGCCTATCTTAGATATCAAATCTTTACCAGAGATATTTGCTATAAAGATTATTTCCCGCTATGGACTGCTTCCTTTATTCCGAGTTACATTAAATTATTTATGCAAAACCTTTTCAATTTTATGTAATCAAAATTATTTCTCATATTTTATGATTAACTCTATTCTTTATTCCTATTAAAAAATAGCCCTGATCACAGCTGTAAAAGGTACCTGATGTGGTTATCTTAATGGTTTTTGTGTTAAAATTTAGGTGATATATCCATTACTTCTTTCCAGTTTTACCAGCAATTCTTATCAAATAGGTAGCTCTGCCCAGGTAACTTATGATTTGGCATTTTATTAAACACTGGATTATTCAGTTCAGTTATTTTTTATTTTTTCTTGTCTGATCTGCTCTTGTTTTTTTTTTTTTTAAGTAGTGCCAAATAGTTTTGATGATTCCTGCTTTATGATATAATTTGGGGTCACTGTGCACATTTTCCATGCCAAAGACTTTAAGTGAGATGTAAATTTCTTTGCCTCAGTATTCTTACTTCCAGAGTTTCTTTTGGAAGGAGTTTAGGGATGGTTTGCACTAACTTTACCATTGTTTTCTTAGGAATCTATTGAAAATCTGAAGCTTCCTGAAACTTTTAGACTTGAGCTAAAAACCAGTTTTATGTTACTTGTTAATATAGTACCTAAGAATGTTGTTCAGCACTAGAAAGTATCAGAAGCAGCTTCTGTATGTGAAAACAACCTTGTAATCTTATCTGTGCTCTTCCTTATGCAGATTTAATTCTACCAGATTCCCATTTGCCATCCAGGACCCCAAGAACACCTAGAAGAGTCTCATCTTCAGAAACAAAGTGATGTTGAGTTCAGTATTGAGTCAGGATTTTCTGCACTGGCATTAAACATTCAGATATGTTCAAAAGGATAAAATGTACTAAATGATCCTATTTTGAACTGAAAAATCCATTTTTAATGGTTTTATATTAATTAGCCCTGCTTATTTGTATTGACTTGCTAATAATCTAAGTAAAATAATTTTAATGAGGTGGTGATTTTGGCATTTTTCTTGGTCTGTGCCCTGGTACTGTTGATATTAGTATTGTTTGATAATTTATAACAGAATGAAATAGGAATACGTTTTGCTTTTCATAATTCAAATTTAAATTTGAGTATCTTATACATCAGGTTTAAATAAATATCTGAGTTTAATTGAACTAAAATTGAATTAAGTAACATTTTAAATTCTTTGTTTTTATTGATTCAATGTTCCTTTTCAGTACTTAAGAAGCTGTCCTTTCTCTCTTGTCCCTGTTTTTACTGAGGCTACATTAGGCCATAAGTGGCCTCTGGACAAGACTGCCTACTGACTGGCCAAGTTTGGGACTTTGGCCAGAACTGAAGGTATGAGAAGTCCTGAAAGGCAGAATGGAACAGAGAAGTACTGCAGAGCCACAATCTTAACCTCTAGTCCTTTGATCTCTCATTCTATTTTCCCAGTCCATCTTTCTCACTCTGTAGCGAGGCTTGACTCCATGGCATGCAATGTTTATAATTCATCAGCCACCACCTTCTTGTCCTCCTTTTGATTGAAGTTAAAAAAAAAAAAGTTGATTTATCCCTCTATAATTTCATGGTAATAACCTCAGTGAGGCCTTCATTGCTACTGCCAATCCTGCTCTGCTCTTGCCACCTTCTTATCTTATTCCCTATTGCAACTATTCCAAACTGTTTTCTCATACCTCAAGCTTCCAGCCACATTGCCATGGCTCACATTTAATAGCAGACAACATTGCCTCCTACTTCAATGAGGCTATAACAATGGGATCCCTTCATTTTCCTCTTCTGCAATTTAAAATTTCTGAACATCACCCATTTTCTTCTTTTTGTCACCTGTTTCAAAGGAATAGGTATCCTTGGTCCTTATCAGGACCACTTCTCTTACTGAGGCACTGTCCCCATTTCTCCTTGCCTTCTCTGGGAGTTTGCTCCAAAAATCCTCCTCTCCAACCTCATTGTCTTCCCTTGACTCTTCTCCCTTGTTAAAGCTATGCTGAGACCTCTCCTCTTCCTGTCATTACCATGCTTCTTAAAAAAAGCTGTTTCCATTGCCTCCATTTCTTTCCCCCACTCGTTCTTCAGTTCTTCGATATATGGCTTCAGTTCCTACCACGCGACACAAACGTCTATCTCAAAAGTCAGCAATGACCTCCCTGTTGTCAGATCCAGTGGCCTTTTTTTTTTATAGGCTGTATTTTCATTCTGCAGCATTGGACATTATTAACCATTTCTACTTCTGGACACTTTTTCCTTGGCTTCTGAGACATGACACTACTGGTGGTTCTACCTCCTGAATCAGTTCTCATATGCTTGTTCTCTTCTTATACCCTTAAGGTGGATGTTCCCCAAATCTGTCTTTGCTCCTTCCTCTTAATAATTCCATCCTTGGCTAATGCATTCACTCTCACAGTGCCAGTTATTGCTTAATTTTTTAAAATTCATTTTCTGTTTCTGATATCACCACAGTTATCCCAAGTATCCATCCCTCTTCCTCTGCTGGAGAGTGATCCCATGACAAATGGTATTTCTTTGGAGGGGAAAAAAAAAACCAGCACAACTGACCAGTACACTAAAGATGTCTGAAAACATGTGTAATGTGTAACTCTTGTGGACCTCCCACTTTCACAAAAGGGTAGATTGGGGATGTCCCCTCATCCGTCTTTATTCGAGTCCTGTTTGATCTTTATACTTTTTTCACATTTATTTTTGATTTTTGGGTGTGTGGTTGTTCTTTTCATTTGCATTGTTGTAGTTACTGTGCATGTTGTTTTCTTGGCTCTGCTTACTTCACTTTGCATCAGTTCATATAGACCTTTCCTTGCTTCTCTGTATTTTTCACACATATCATTTCTTAGAGCACAGTAATATTCCCTAAACTATTTGTTTGCCCATTCCCCAAGTGATGGGCATTGACTTTGTTTTTCATTCTTAGCTATCACAAAAAGTGGCCAGCTATCACTTCTACCCAGTCATTTGCTAAGTTGATATTTCTAGCCTTGATCCTTCTAGACTTGCATCCCAAATGATATACAGGACTTCCTTACCTCGCTGTCTGATTAGCACCGCATATTTAAAACAGCCAAAACTAAAATGGTCTTTCCCCTAAAACCTGCTTTCATCAGCTCCCATGGATTTAATTACTATCTCTGTGCTGATGATTCTCAAATCTACCTATCCTGCCCCCAACTCTCTGCTGACTTCCAATGTTACATCTCCAGCTGCTTTTCAGCCATATTGAACTGGATGTTCAGTAGCCATCTTAAACTCAATATATTCAAAATGGAACTTATTATCTTTTCCCCCAAGCCCTTCCCCCTCTTACCTAAGCAACACCACCTATCCTCCTAGCCCCTCAAGCTTGCAAACTAGTAGTCATTCTGGACGTCTCGCTCTCTCAGACCCCGCATGAATTTGTTGCCAAGGCCTGCCAATTTCACCTCTTCAATCTCTCTCAAATATTCCCCCTTCTGTCCCCTGACACTGCCTTCACCCTAGTGCAGGCCCTCATCACGTCATGCCTGAATGACTGCAACAGCCTGCTGGTGGGTCTCTCTGACTCAAAGTCTCTTCCCCCTCTACCCACCCTCCATTCAGCTACTCAAGTGATTTTCCTAAAGCATATGTCGGACCGTATCACTCCCCTACTTGAATAAAGTCTAGTGGCCCCCTATTATTTCCAGAATCAAATACAAAGCGCTGTTTGGCATTCAAACCCCTTAATAACCTAGCTCCTCTTCCTTTCTGACATGGACTCTTTGATTCAGTGACACTGGCTTTCTGGCTGTTCCATGAACAAGACTCTCCATCTCTTGGCTCTGGGCATTTTATATGGCTGTCCTCCATGCCGAGAATGCTCTCCCTTCTCTGCTCTGTTGGCCTCCCTGACTTCCTTTACGTCCCTACTAAAATCCTGCCATCTACAGGAAGTCTTCCCCAATCCTCAAATACAAAGCCTTCCTTCTGTTAATTATTTCCTATTTATCCTGTATATAGCTTGCTTAGTATATATTTGTTTGCATGTTATCTCCCCCATTAGCCTGTGAGCTCCTTGAGGGCAGGGCCCATCTTCTGCCTCTTTTTATATCCCCAGTGCTTAGTACAGCATCTGGCACATGGTGGGTACTGAATATTTATTTTTTTCTTACCACCATACTTTTGCTCACACTCTATTCCCTATGTCTAGAATGTCCTCCCTGCTCATCCACCTATTATATTTACACCTATCACTGAAAGCAGAACTCAGTACTAGCTCCTTCAGGAGCCCCTCCCTCCTCATAGATCTTTGCTTATTTTTAGTTTTCTGTCTGTTCTCTCTCTGTACCAGACAGTAAGTTCCGCAAAGGCTAGAACTGTGGCTAATCAATGCTCTTGATCTCCCTCTGTGCCTATGCACATTGAATAAACATTTGTTGAATTGTATTGGCAGGTAAGGTTCAGAATCTAGAGGTCAGGCAGCAAAGAGTTAACTAAAGAGACCAAACTAAGTGACCAAGGTAAAAGGAATCAAGGGTTAGAGCCAGCAATGGAACTAGGCAACAAAGAGTCAGACACCCAGGTCAGAGTTAGGGAGTCATTCAGGTAAGGGATCTGTGTAAGGAGTGCGGGGACCTAATAACTACAACAGAGCTTGAGGCTGGGCCGAGGGCTTCTAAGACTGGAACTTTCCACATACTTCTTTCTTAGGGCCAGATACGGTTTTAGCACATGCGCAGGCTTTACCACATTTCATTAGGCAAAGGAGGGAACACTTTCATTTGAGGAGAAGAAAACAGATTTCATAGATGACATGGCATCTAAGATGAGCTTTGGAGCAAAACAGGGATTTCATAAGTAAAAATGAGGGCAGAGTACAATCCAGATGTCAGGGTAGGCCTGGGAAGTTGAACAGGGAGGGCAGCATGTGATTAAGGAAAAATGGGTTCAATTTGACAGGAACCTAGTGTATATAAAGGAGACAAATGTGATATTCATAGCTGGAGAGGTAAGCCAGAGCCAGACTATGGAAGGCCTTAAGTGACAGAGGCAAGTAAGTACAGGTGGCTGAAGTGGGGAGTGAGACATCCAATTTTTATCTTTCAGTACAGTCTGTGTGATGCTGTTAGTGTAAAGGTTATAAATTCAGTCCAGATGACTACCAGTCAATTTACTTATCCATTAAATACTACATCTAAATACTTGCTATGTGGGGTTGGTTAATGGATGAACAACAAATTAATAACTTTTATTCAAATCTGCTAACCCTCACTGGTTCAGTACAACAGAACTTCTTTGAAGCCTTCATCCTAAGAAAATGCTTGGAATTTGAGCCATAAACTCAATATTTTGGATTTCCGACAATATTAGAGATTTAACGGGATGATTTGAAGATTTCATTTTCAGTATTCTGCTGAGCTGATGGAAACACCTGCTTGAGGGAAATAAGGTCAGGGAGGTGTCCATATTTTAAATATTTCATTTTAATGATTTTTTCCTGTAGTTTTGAACTTTAAAAAAATCACATCACATTTTAAAGGTACATGTTTCTTTCAACTCTGCCTGACAGCAAAAGCAGAATCGGCCAAATTGGTACAGAAATGATCACGAAGGATCAGGTGCTGACAGGAACTACAGCCAGATAGCCCATCTCTGAGCTAGGAGGAAAAAGCACATGTTATATAGCCTCTGAATTACATTCTGTCTTGATGAATTTCAGTCTATCCCGCCTTAATGTTAGAGATGCATGAAGAAATAATATTCTTATCTTACGTCTTAGGTCAGTGTACCTTTAGTGACTTAATAGGAATCTTGTCATGCGAAAATTTAGATAAATACTGCCTATCATGTCAAATATAAAGAGAAACAATTTTGTTATCCACTAATTATTCTTTTTTTTGTGGGACACTGGATCTACTTTTATAAATTTCAAGCAATTTGTGATACTTAAAACAAGTGAAGTGCCTTTTCTTGTACCAGTCTGAGATCTGCCATATCCAAGGACAGGACGAAGGT